AAAAAAAAAAATAAGAAAAAAATAATAAATTTTTTTTTTTTATGAGAACGATCTCAAATATATAGTTTTTTTTTAAGGGGAATAATAATAGTAATCCACCTCTTTTTTAAGGAATTTTAAAAAAAATAATAATCAAAATCAACGATAACAATGCTTTTTTTTTGTGTTATAACCCATTTTAATTATTTTAACATAAAAAAATCGCGTTTTACGTAACGCGTTTTTTAAAATTATAACATAAAAAAATCATAATTTTTAACCATATATTTTCGTGTTTATGGAGAGGGAAATTGAATGAACATAATTGTAAGTAGTAATTTAAGCACAAAAAATAACGAATACGAAATGAATAAAAATAATGAAAAAAAAATAAAAATTTGAAAAAAAATGAAAAAAAATCGAAAATTCGAATATGAACAAAAAAAAAAAGAACACAAAATTTAACCAAGTAACTAATTAAAAACTAAGAATTAAACTAAGAAAATATAGAATACGAGAACTTTACATAAAAAGAACCATTGAATACACAAATAGCGAAAACATTATAATGTACGTATAGTACTTCAAATATATATGTAGTAGAGTAATAGACGATTATTGAAAAAAAAAAGTGGAGGTTAGGTTTATAGATCGAAAGTACTTGAAATGTAAATAACGATAACGATAACAAAAATAAAAAAAAGGAAAAATAATAAAAATTTTTTTTGGTGTAATAAAAGAGAAATAGCATAATTAAAAATCATAAAGTAATTTTCATAACTAATTTGTCTGTGTGGTATTTAGTAGTAATATAGTATAATATTTGTGTGGTATAATTTGAATTATTTGTTAATTTTAAAGATAATTTTTTTTTTTCTCAATTATAACACCTGTAATCATAATTATTATTAAATCTTAGAAATTTGTATAAAATCGATCGTATATGAATAAGTTTTATAAAATGTTCGCCATATCACCATATCATTAAAATCTCTCATTTAACTGAGAATTGCATGTTGGGTAAAAGTAACGGAATGATGGTGATGATGATGGTGATGATGGTGATGATGATGATGATGATTGAATTGTTGTTGTATTTCTTGCTGGTGTTTGGCCAAGGCCAATTCAGCCAAGATGGATGTTCGATCATAATCGATTGGAGAATGGGTGTAATACACCTTCTCAAATCGACTGAATCTGACCGATTTGCGTCGTTGTCGCTCTGAATCGGTGGCAACAACTTGGTTGGTGGATGCTCTTGGAACGACTAAACAAGAGGCGTGCGTTGTCATTATGGAATTATAGGATAATAATTATATTTTTTTTTTTGATTTACGATGATTTTTAAACGAACACTAACGAACGGACTGGACGGTTAACGGAATTATGTGGAAGAATAAAAAATTTTGAAAAAATTTTTTTAAGAAAATAAAAAACCGAAAAAAAGAAAAACGTGAAAAAAAAAAGAGAAAATTAAAGAGACATTTGTTTATACTAAGTAGTCAACTAATTGAATCCTTTTTAAAAAAATGAAACTAGATGAGTTAACAACTGCTTCTTTTAAAAAAAGATTCGTTTGATGTTTCAAGGTAATAAAAAAAGAGAAGAAAATAGTAACAAAAGCTTTATATCCTTAAATCCTTAAAATGGTGGAGAACGAATTTTTATCTGTTGACAAAAAGTATAAATGAAAAAAATTCAATCAATGTTAGTAAATTTTTTATTAAACCGAAAGTTGTTTAAAAAAAATTTAAAAAAATGATTGAAAAAGAAAGGGCGATGGGAGGAAGTTTGGTCGGTCAGGATAAAATAAATAAGGTGTTCATTAAATGATTAATGATTGATATCGTTATTTCAAGTACTTATTTTATGAACATTAGGTAAACATGAAAAAAATGAAGTCGTTAATGAAAAGAGGTAGAGGAAAGAGGAAGAGAAAATCATGGAGGGTATTAATACTTTTAGGGGGATTATAAGAAAAAAAAAAATCTCTAAGAAAAAAAATTAAAGTCGATCTGTTTATTAAAAGTAAATGAGTATAAAAAAGAATCGATTAC